ATTGTTAATTGGACTCATGCTTGGTTTCTTATTTCACTATAAAACTTACAAAAATCAATTTTATATTATAAATCAAATAATCGATAAAATAGAACCAAGAAAAAGCCAATTCAAAATTAAATCAGACAAACTTACTAGTGATAAACAATATTCACAAGAAATAGAAAATTTATGGAAGGATTTAAAACAATTATTTGACAAAAAGACTGAACTGAATCCAAATTTTTCATTTAGTGAATTGGCCATTGAAATTCGTGAATTACTTGGAGAAGGAAAAGGTGTTGCTACTTCCACAATAAAAAACTTCTATCAACGAAAAACCAATCCTAGAAGAAAATGATAGAGGCAATTCAGGAATGGAAAAGAAAAAAGAAGTGGAGGATGAAATTGATGAAGATAATGAAAATGAAGAAAATACAAATATTAATAATAAAATTATTGATAATAATAAAAAGTCAGAGTGCCCAAAGAATAGGTAATACTTATAAATGGCTTTGGATCCAAGTATTTTCCTCCCATGCAAATGCTCTGACAATTCTTTAACTTATATTTTTGTAAATTATTTATGTATTTTTCTATTATTAGTTGAATTAAAATAAAAATAATTTTCTTTTATCGTTTAATTCATTTGTTCGTAAAAAAAATTTTTTTAATTGCAAGTCATGTGCCTACTAATTTATCATTGGTCCAAATTATTTATAGAAACAATTAATCATTTTAATCTTAAAAAATGTCAACTCTCGAAGAAATAAAACAACAATTACAAAAAGCAGAAGTGGAATATGGTGAAGCGAAGAAGAAGTTGAACGATTGGGAAGAAGATGAAAAGGGAAATAAACAAAAAAGATTATTGGTGTTGGAAGAAAAGTTAGATAATGGAAAATACAGTAACGAGGGGCAGAAGGAAAAATTGGAAGGACGGATAGACGAGCTGAAGGAAGAAAAGAAGAAGTTGGTGGAGAGCAAAGAGAGGCGGGAGGAGCAGTATAGGAAATTCCAGGACGCATTATTATGTGGAGGGGAAGGTAATGAACAAATTGCATAAAAAAAAATTTGTTTTTTGTTCATTTATTTATTTATTTGAGGGAATGTTTTTTACAAAGTTGACTAACTTATTTTGTATTCTTATATATTGGATATAATTTACATTTTTTTTTTATTCTTCATCTATTTACATAGATGATCAGGGGACATATAAAGGTGTGTTCAATTTGGGTCAATTTATCAGTTATTGTAAATTAATATAATCAATTTCTAATCTATAATTATAATTTTTTTTTCACAGAATTTACAATAAAAACATCATTTGCAAAAACTCGTAAGACATTTACTTGGCCTATTGACATTTCAGATGTGTTGTTAGATAACTTAAAGAAAGAAATTATTAGTGTTTTATCACCTTTAGAAGATACCATGCTAGAATATATGACTTTACATTTCAGTAGAGAAAATGATGAAAGCCCTGAAACACTAGCAATAACAGATGATCATAGTCTTCGAGAGTACCTAAAAACATGTGCTAAATTAAAATTCATGATCCTCAAAGTTCAAGTTTTTACATCGCAAAAACCATTTACAAAATGGGATTTAAAAAGTGTAGCTGAACTATGGAAGTTACCTCCAAATTTTGAAGAATTTCCCAAGTTCAATTGTCCAATGCATCAACTTGATGGTAATAAAGAATTGTTAGAACACCTATATTATGAATTGAAGCTTCGTCAATTAGTAGTATATGGAAACTTAGAAGCTGTCAGAAGTAAGTTTGTAGTACCATTTCTAGTAACTGCAGCATCAGTATTTGATGGTAAAGTAAAAATGTATCCAGAATATGAAATAAGTGGGAAATATGGTCGTGGTCCATTGGATTTCTGTCTTTATTTAGGAGAAATAATTATTGGTGTTGTAGAGGTTAAGAATGAAAATTTCAATCAAGGTGTTGCACAATGTAGCATGCAGCTTTACACATCACTTGAAGTAAGTGTTAAATTTTTTCCTATACTGATTTCACATTTACATAAATCTAACATTTCAATTTATAGGAAAACAAAAAACGAAAATATAATGAAACAGAAGATCTGGATATCAATATAGCATTTGGAATAGTCACAGATAGCCGTTTATGGTATTTTTTTGAATGTAATATGCAAGACAATTCACCAAAATTTAAGATACACTCAAAAGAAGGGACAGCAATTGATTGGGGTGAAGAAGGAGCGACGAAGAAAGGGGTAGATAAAGTCTTAGGATACATTTTGGGGTTGTTAAAAAATTCAGAAAGTTTGGTAAATTCAATTCGTTGATAGTAATGTAATTAAAAAAAATTAAAGTTGAATCAACAAAGTGGATAGTATACAGACTTTTATTTCGCAGGAGCTCAATTTAGAAGGAGGAGTGATGTTACCAGAATTAGGATTTAACGCTAATTTGTTAGTCGAAATACCCTAATTCCGAACCAAACCTTTTATTTATATTCTTATTTATTATTTATTTTTAATTCATTTATTTATTTTTATATTTATCATTTTTATTATCGTTTATACCTGTGTTACGTTTCGTATAATCATTTATTTAGTGTTAGTGGTAGTATCCGTTGGATATTCGGATATTCGCCGATCATCCACAAAATTTTGATATCCGAATACTCAATTGTCAAATAATTTTGACATCCGAATACTCAATTGTCAAATAACTTTGATATCTGAATATTTGATCGGTTTGCCAGTTTTGATATTCGGATACCCGAATATCCGTCAAATATCCGCCGATATTAATGTCTCAATATAATAATAACGAATTTACTATATACGTTTATTTGAATTATTTTTTCGTGGGTTGATATTAATTAATTGGTTGTTATTTATATGAGAGTTCTCATCTTGATTTTCCTCTAAATTCAATAATAATATTATCATTATTACTCATTTTTTATTATTAATGCCACCACTATTTATTATTATTAATGCTACCACTATTATTATTAATGCTACTACTATTATTATTAATGCTACTACTATTATTAATACCACTACTATTATTATTATTTATCATTAACACCATCCACTATTACTATTACTATAATATTATTATTTGTTATTAATACCACCACTAATACTATAGTTAAATTTTTTTTTTAAAGGAATGAACTTTTTTTTCGCCACGAATATTTTTATTTTTAAATTTTTTGTATCACGGATATTCACGGATATTCACATATATTCGCGGATATTCACAAATATTCCTCCTCGATATCCGTCAAATATCCGTCGATCAACTGTGAGATAAAATTGATATCCGAATAGTCGCGGAGTAGAAATTAGTGACGATGCGCCCATATGGGCTCATGAACCCAGATGGGCGCGTAGACCCAAATGGGCGCGTGAACCCAAATGGGCTCATGAATCCAAACGGGCTCCAGAACCAAAATGGGCTTATAATTAATTGACATGTATATAAAGAACTCGAATTTGACCTACTGTAAAAGTAACTTTGTTACAAGTTAATTAGTTTCGACTAAATAAAACTAAATAAATAAAATAGTAATATTTTATTTAGATAAACTTTTATCTTCTTTACCCAAAATTATTCGCTAATAATAAAATCAATTCGTTGATCCCCTATTCATTCTGATCCACACAAAACAAAAATAATTGTTATCACCAATTAAAATACGCTCTCCCGAATTTAATCGGTGACAATATTGACTGTAATAATAATAACTTACCAATCTATTTATTATTTAAAATAAAATGAAAGCCAATAATTAATATGTCTTCAAAAACAATGATATTGACTGTAATAATAGTACAAAAATACTTACGGAACTATTTATTATTTAAAATCAAATGAAACTCAATAGTTAGTATTTTTTCAAAAACAATGATATTTGACTATAATGACATTTATAGCAATAGTTAAAATACCTCACTTCTCCAAATTATTGTTATCATCTATTGGACTTGCTAAAGCAACAACAGCAAAGATAGCCAAAAAGAGAAGAGAAATATTGAATTTCATTTTGGTTTGTTCAGTTAATTCTTAACGAATTTTTTTTTTTTCAATTGTATGCAGTTAAGGAATTTATAAAAATTTATAGTAAACCAGTTATTTTAAAATTTTGGTTATTCTTCGCAATCACAGATAAATGGATCCTTTAAATATTCGATTTAATGTTAATTAAACAAATAATATAACGAAAAAATGCAAACGGTTGGTTATTCACTTATAGGCGCGTATCGAGATAAACGGAAAGGATCGACATCTTTATAATAATGATATGTTGCAAATGAGTTTACGTTATGCTTCCATAATATGTAAACAAAAAAAATTTTTAAAAAATCCAAATTATAATAATCAAAATAAATACCATTCAATTTTCTCTTTCATAATCACTCAATAATCACTAATAATCAGTCAAATTGCTCAAAGTATGTTGTTTTTAAAATCAAAGAAAGTTATGCACTAGGAATTTGTTTTTTTAAAAGTATTTGTTAGATAAAACACAAAACCAACTGTTAACACATTATACTGTTTATTTACCACACTTACTCAGCAATATTCTAAAAACCAGGTCACTGGGTCCAAGATTTCAAAAAATAAATGAGTTAAAAAAGGGGAATTTCATTAAAAGCCTTGTAACTTTATACAAAAATTCTTTTTAATAATACTATCAGAAGAATAGATAAATAAAACCTCTAGTTTCAGATTAACTAAGATATTTCACAGTAAGTTCTGGATCCCAAATATGTTAATTTAAAAAAGAGTAATTTAAAAAGAGTGATTTTGTTAACCAACTTTACAAAATTTCTTATTAATAGTGACCATAGGAATATAGAACAAACTTCTAGTTTCAGACTATCAATTAATATGCTCTAAATTTGCCTTTATCTAAATTTA